CCATGGACCAGAAAAAGAAATGATGATAAACTAGAAACCATGAATCAACAATTAAAACTTGAAGCATAAAGAGAAAGAGAGAAAGGGAGGGAAAGAGGTACCGGAGAGCTCCAATCGGGGTTCGAAGTAGAGAGAGAAAGAAAAGACGGTGGCGGCGGTTGTGGTGGTGGGAGAAGCCAACTCGATTTCGCGATTCTTAATCAGAAACCATAGCCTTCAGAAAACGAGTGGGAGGGTTGTGAATTGAAGCCACTAAGAGAGAAGGGGGAAGAGAGGAAGAGGCAAAAATCGGGTAGGAAGGTTGCAAATTGAAGCTATTGAGAGAGAAGGGGAGAGAAGGGGAGAAGGCAAAAATCAGGTGGGAGGGTTGCGAATTGAAGCCACTAGGAGAGAATAAGGGAGATAAAGAAGAGGAACAAAGAGGGAGATAGAGATAAGGAAAGAATGGGAGAAGACGTGCAACAGAGAGAGAGAGAGAGAGAGAAAGAGATACAGATAGAATGGGGAGGAGACGTGGGTAGGTGGGAGAGAGAGAGAGCACCGAGTGTTTGGGCGGGGATTAAAGTATCATCTCAACCATTGATGTTTATCACAATTAATCTGAGCCCTTAAAATGAAATGTATCTCTAATACATTTTATATATTTTCAAAAACCTTCTTCCCTTATTATATAGATATATAATTTTATTTTGATATAAATACATATCTTAACACCGTTATTTAAAACTATGCTATGAGAATCACAAAAAAAGAAAAAAAAATTGCAACCTCACCATATTGACCTTGTTTGAGATAAACTAAAAAAAACTAAAAAGTCAAAAAATTAATAAAAAAATTAAAAAGTCTATACTATTCAAGGGTAGCTTGTGGGGGAAGCTACTATGGCAAAATTATTATTTTGCCTTTTGAATTCAGCTATTACAATGTCAAAAAGTCAAAGGGATAAAATGATCATTTTAATTTTGCTACAATATTTTTATTACATATTTTTTCATAAAAAATTAAAAAATACACATATATAATGCATTCCAAACAATTACGAAATTCCAAACAATGTGCCCCACACTGCACGCGATGTATAGCGTGACACAAAAATTCACAGAATAGACAAGGTCAATATGGGAAAAATGATTGGAACCGCTTTAGGGATGATTCCCATACTTTCAAAGTAATCTTGGCTCTCTATTTACGTGTGGAATCTATTTATATATGTCTAGAGTTCACATCAAAAGTGATTTAGATTTGTGGAGGTCTTGTGAGGTGGGGGTCTCAATCATTGTTCTTACTATGGGATGTTTGGAAAGTTGGTTATTTTAGTAGGTTATTTTAGTTTTTGATCATTGTAGTAGGTTAAAATAGTTATGTTTGAGAAGATGATTAGATTTATTTTTTATAGTTGAATGTAATGTTTGTGAAAAAAAATGAAAATAATTATGAATTTAATGTGATATTTTGTCTTATTATTATTTTAATCTATTTTATTTTTTAGTATTATTTTAACTTAAAAAGTCAAAAAAAAAAAACTTATTACCAAACAACCTATGTGTACACCACAAATAGACAAGTTCTCAACTTTTTTTATCTAATTTTATATTCGTAACAAAACTGGATATATATGTAAGGGTGAATATAATTTGGATTGTTTTGGTTTGGAGTAAAATTACGATTAATTAATTGTCTACGGTTTCATAAAAGGGAAACTTGGCTATAAATTTCACTTACCTTCTTTTCATTGTTAAAAAAATTAAGAAAAAAATTATAATTTCTAAACTCCCTCATAATTATAAAGTATTGCATAAAAGATAAAATTTATTATTTAAATATTTTATCAGACTATTATATCCTCAACTAAATCTTCTCACCTTCTCCCCCCACTCTCTCTCCACCTTCTCCGTCTCTCTCCTCCCCCTCTAAACACAACTTCTCTTCATAGTCATGTCAGAGGCCATCTCAGCCACCGGAGCACCGTCCGCCAATATATTCCGGCCACCAACCGCTATGATTCTCGACGCCATCCCCTCCTCTGCATCCAATATCAATCAAGCCTTCAATTTCTCTTCTGGAAACCCTAGAATTGAAGTAACCAGAGGCTTTATGCACCTCTACCATACTCCATTCACTTGTTTACTGAACTGAAATTCTAACAAATGTTCTCCCTCTTCCTTCAGTCCTCAGTTCAATTTGTGATCTACGAGGAGCTCTAATTTGAGTTTGCGATCTATGCTTAAAAGGCTTGGGTAAGGTTGATTCAACTTATAACAGCTCAGATCTGGATTCGACTAATAACATCTCAGATCTAGTTTGTGGCATTTCGAATTTGGTATAATTTCACCATTACAAACTCGATTTTGAGTTTTGATTTGGAGTCGATCTTGTAGCTCAAAATTTTGCCTAAGATCTGGATGGATGACTTGACCCTCACCTTTGGTTCGATGTCGCTATTTTATCTTCGACATATGCTGATTAGTTTTTTTATTTTTTATTTATTTTTGTTGATTTGCCGAGTTCAATCAGTTGCGTGCTCTAATTTTTATTTGACAGAATGAGAGTAAAATTTTACTCTGATTTGTGCTCTGTTTTTACTTGACAGAATGAGAGTAAAATTTTACTCTGATTTGCGCTCTGTTTTTGTTTGATTAAATGAGAGTAAAATTTTACTCTGATATGTGCTCTATTTTTGTTTGATAAAATGAGAGTAAACTTTTACTTTGGTGTTATCTGTTCCATTTTTTTTTTAATACAATGATAGTAAACTTTTACTTTGTTATTGTGTACTTCTGTTATTTGTTTTTAGAGTCCTAGTGACAGTAAAATTTTACTATCAATTCATTGCAGATTTGAATTATATAATGATAGTAAAATTTTACTCTGGTTAAAAACATGTTGATTTGCTTAACGATATAAAATTTTACTCTGGTTAAAAATATATTGATTTGCTTAAAAATATAAAATTTTACTTTGAATCATAGTAAACTTTACTCTGATTACTCTGAGATACACTGTGAATATGGATTAATAGGAGAGCTGATAGATATGAGGATAATATAGTAAAAGGAATAAGTTTTAAAATATTAGGGGGTTTTAAAAGTACCTATATAATTCTTATCATTTTGAAAGATAAATTAGACAATGAGGGGTCTATCACCAAATCCCCATTCATAAAAATTAAAATCAAACTAATTCATTTAAATCATGAAATTAATCCGAACCAAATCATTTAAATACGATTCGACTCGGTTTGGAACCACAGTTTCATATAATCTGTTCATAAGAAAAATCATATAACATTTAAAAATAAATTCAACCTATTATAAATTTTAATAATAATAATAATAATAATAATATGTTCACCAAATAAAAACATAACATCAAGCAAATATTGTTCAACATTAATATATGATTTTTATTATTACATTAATATGAATCGTTATGAATTAGGGTTTGGTTTTATATATAAGAGGGTAGGATTATATGTATCAGGGTATATGGTATGTATATATATATAGTTTAAGTTATATACAGTCCGATTCGGATTTAATTTGGAATTGTGAACTTAAATCTAAAACCGATTCGCAGACACCGGTTTTTTAATTTTTTTAATTAGAACTGAACCACACGGATTTAAAAAATAAACCAAATCTATTGAATTAGACTAAATCGGTCCAATTTGCGAATTTTTTAATTTTTTACTCAACCCTACAAATATGGCGTCACGATTGCGAAAACAAAACCTGTGAGAAAGTGAGGAGCTTATATGAGTTGAGGGAGGGGTTTCAGGAGGACCATCTCCACTTGAGTACCATCTATAAAGCTGCGAGAGAGAGAGAGAGAGAGAGAGAGAGAGAGAGGATGGGTCCAAGAATAGCATATTCGACTGAGGCATCCCACATGAGGGTTTGGCATGTATATTGTGTATGTACTTCTGAAAAATGGCTACTAAACAACAAATAGCCCATCATAATTATTCATGTGAAAATTTCTCTCCCAATGGCTTATTCTTGCCTACTTCTTGAATGTTATTTGAACATACATACAATGTTAATTTATTTAAGTTTTGAAAAGATTTTATAAGATAAGTAAATAGAAAATCACCAAGGATCCTCTAGAATGAAATTTCCCTAAAGTTTCCTAAAGTGCTACAGTGTATGGTTGAGATTTACTGGCAAGTCACATCAAAAAAATTGATGTGACTTGCCAGTAAATCTCAACCATACACTGTAGCACTTTAGAAAACTTTAAAAAAAAATCACTCTAGAGGATCCTTGCTCATAGAAAATAGACTACAAGAAGAATGATATAATATTAGTAAGAAATTGGTTCGTAATCCTTTAATCAACTAATTTACAATTGATAAGACTAGTTTAGTTGCTGTAAAGTTCGTTCACAATCCATTAGTCAACTAATTTATAATAATTGATACAACTAGTTTGGTTGCCGTAAAGCTCAGTTCATAATCCATTAATCAACTAATTTATAATTTATACGACTAGTTTAGTTGTTGTAAAACTCTTTTATGTCAGATAACTTAAAAAAAATCATGATCGTATCACTTGATTCTCAATATGTATCGATGGAAAATATCTTACAATGTAACCAATGTCAATTTGTCTCCTAGTACTACAATTTAAAACCTTACTAGTAAACATTGCTTTTTATTAGCTAAGAGGAGTATGTACACGACAATAAACATGATTAAAATATCAAGTCCTAAAATTTGAACTTTCCAACTTAGCAGATATATAGAGGTTATTCATCTTGTTTGATTTTGTTTTTAGAATTTATTTTGTTTTTTTTGTTCTTTCAAAAAACTAAAAATTCTTTTGGTGGATAAAATGAAAAAAATAAAAATAAAAACACTTATGATTTTTATATGATTTTATTTTTTTTAGGCAAAAATAATTTTTGAAAATATGTTCACATGTGTTTATTTTTGTCAAATTAATTTTTACTTAAAAATAAAATAAAAAATAAATGAAAATAGAAATCAAACAAAGTCATTATTCCTTGAAATTGTCACCAGCTTTCTCCTTCAAGAACACAATAATGATATTTGAGAAGACTAATGGTACTAACTGAATTAACTTGAGAAACGCATTTTAGAAGAAAAAAAGAAAAGAAAAAAAGCGCATAAGCTTGTCATCATTTTAGAGTACATTTAAGAGCTATAAAAACCTTATAGCACACTCTTAATTACTTCCAAAGTAGAATGATAATTAGCATCATGAGCAGTCAGCCTTAGATCAGCAGAATGAATGGTCATGATGCATCCTAATCATATCATTCCATGAAAGCTGTCATTAAGCATGGTGTGCAGCCAAACAAGGCCCAAATCAAAATCCTCCACCAAGAGCTGGAGCCCAGTAATCAGCTCCATTGTCATTTCCAACATGATGAGTGCAAGATACTGGAACCAAGCACAACCCTCTACTCCTCAAGTCCTTTGGAGCTTCCTGGTTTCCCTAAAATCATCCAAAACATTGAAAAAAAAAAAATTAAAAAAAATGCATAAATATTACTTCAATAAAAAATCAATCACTTTGTTTAGTTTTGATTCCCAAAATTCACTCTTTAGAAAATTCTATTTTTTTTTTATTTTTTGTAATTTTTTTTTAATTTTTACTGAATTGTTTTTAATATTTTAAGCATTTTTTTTTAAATTTTTAGACACATCTAACATAAATATAATTAAAAAGTATAATATTTGTGAAAAAAATCTTTGAAAAATTCACTAAATAACAAAAATACAAAAAAGTACATTTTTCGTATTTTTGTATATTTATTAATTTTTAAAATATTTTTCATAAATATTTTAATTTTTAAATACATCTAACTAAAATGCATTTAACAAAGTAAAAAAATTTCTTAAAATTTTAAAAATATTCACTAAAAACAACAAAATAAGAAAAATAAAAAACTCAATTTTCAAAAAATTGAATCCAAAAAATTGAAACTAAACGTAATGAATATTATTCCTATTACTACTAAGTGGAAAGACAAATATCATTATAATTGTTGATGATATAAATAATAATAAAACTATTATCTTTTTTAATGGCTTGAGTTTTTAAATAAGATGATGGTTAATAATCAATTACGATATGGAGTAGATGACAAATCTAGCCTCCGTTTGGGAAGTGGGTTGGCTTTTTAGTTTTTTGATTTTTTTGACTATTTTAGTCCGGACTAAAAAGTTTGGTTTGGGAAGAATTTTTTGACTTTTTTGAATTTTTTTGTGAGAGAAGAATGTAATGATTATGGGTTGGATGTGATATTTTGTTTTTTGTGGCTAAAATAGCTTATTTTGTCTTTTATAACTAAAATAGCCAAAAAAAATCCCGCTTAACTCTTGCTATATATATTTTTATATAACATAAACACCGCTCTTTAATAAATGTTTTGATTTTTTTGACTATTTTAGTCCGGACTAAAAAGTTTGGTTTGGGAAGGATTTTTTGGCTTTTTTGACTTTTTTTGTGAGAGAAGAATGTAATGATTATGGGTTGGATGTGATATTTTGTTTTTTGTGGCTAAAATAGCTTATTTTGTCTTTTGTAACTAAAATAGCCAAAAAAATCCCGCTTAGCTCTTGCCATATATATTTTTATATAACATAACACCGCTCTTTAATAAATGATATAATTTATCATATCACATCAAGAAGTCATACGAATTGAACTTTATAAAGGTTTCAATAATAATAGAGAGTTCTAATTTTGGAACTCTAAAGAGAGTTCTAGTGATGTGATAAGAAAAAAAAAATTATATATATATATATATATATGCACACACATCACATTATATGTGGACTCCACTCCTTACCACATCACTAAAGCTCTCTTTAAAGTTTCAAAATTAGATCTCTTAATTTTTATTCTAAATGTTTATATTAGTCTTGTACGTTAATTTTCATTAATAATTTTTTTTTTTTTACTCATAAAGAAAAGTCATATGAATTGAAAAAAATTATTAAAATATTTAAGTGATATTAACAATTATTTATTGAGAAACCTTAAATAATACATTAAAGTTGATTAAAGCTTAGGATCTCAATCGTTCTTTCAACATCTAACTTTATGAATAGAATAATAACAAAGATGCTTTAACGAATACAAAACTCCCCAACTTTACTTTTTTGAGTTAGTGATGGATCCAATAAAGCATACCTGACCAGAGTCCACAACAAGCGTACAATTTCTTTCTCCTTGGACCTAAAAAAGAGATTAACCCTCCTCATTAACCAACTAATCTTATACAATTAACCACACCCTGTATGCTTTTGTGTTTGTTTATCAGACACAGTCAGTTTATAACAGAAAATGTACAATCTAAAATGGTTGCACTTTTTTCAAAACTTAAATTCGAATTTGAGAAAATTTGAGAGAGCCACCATAGATTTCGTTTCAATATTAAATAATTTATTTTGTAAGAGTCCTATATCATTTCTAAAAAAACTTAGTCGGCCCAATAATCAGAATTTTTTTATTTTAGTTTGTCTCCAAAAAAATAAATAACAAGCATGGCTTAAAAATAAAATCATCTATTTTTTAGAGACAAATATAATCAAATGAAAAAATTACGATTATTAGATCGATCTAAATTTTTTATTTATTTATGAATGACATATACAAAAGGCTATATAAAATAAACAGTTCGAACTATCGAAACGAAACCTATGGTAGGTCTTACGAGCCCTTCACAGAAGCCCAATCCTAATAAAATATATCCAAAATGATATGACAACGATATTTTTTAAGTTATGATAATAATGGTTAGTATTTTGATTAAAAATGAAAGAATCACATGAAACCGTACTATTATCTATGAAAAAATGTACAAAATTTTTGTTTATATATCATAACCCTCCAACTTCAGCTTTTATATAATTTGATAGTATCAAAATAGATAATATATCATGCATTTGACTTGTTTTGGCCAATTATAAAGTACAATCATATACCAATATCAGACACCAATCGATATATTAATAAATATAAGTACAGAAATTTAAAATTATGATATATATGTATCATCGATTTTTAAAATTATGTTTATATGTGAGAGTGAGGATCCTGGTGTGGCAGTGGCATTGGAAAATGGAAAATGGGAAATGGGTATATATGTATATGGTTGCTTACAGACTGTTGGTGCCTCATGTTTGCTGAAGCATTGCAGAAGTAAGGGGAGCTAAGTGCCTGCATATATTTCAAGGTAGAAAAAGCGAAACAATGAATCAATTTTATAACTAAAAAGAATGTTTTGAAAAACATGCTCTGAGTGAGTGAGAGCTTTAGTTGTTAGCAGGGCATATATAGATATAGGTGTGGAAGAAACATCACCTCAATTTGACTCTGAAGGAATCCAATATACCCAATCACTTCTAACAGCACAGACGCAGTGTCAGTCTGCAAAAGAAAAAACAAACAACACACACACCCAAGCCATTTTTTTCAGGTCTTCTTTAATGCTAAAAAAAAAAGACAGCCGTAGATGGGGAAATAAAGAAAAGTTTATGCAGAAAGAACTTTAATCTGTCAAGTGAATAAAAATTCTCTTTTTTTTTTTTGGTTTCATCATAAAATATGTAAACTGTGTTGATTATTGGCCCTGCGCACAACAAACTGTTTGTATTATATACTCTTATTCCTTCTGTTGTGATCTGTGAATGAGGGTGAAGAAGTGGATAGTTGTTTGGCTTACCTTTCCAAATGGGGAAACTAGTTGGTGAAGGGCTGTTATTCTATCACCTAGCTTCTCCTTTCTCACCTGGTTCAGAAGTCAAGAATGTATTAACAAAATGACTTAATTCATTAATTGTACATTTAATTCAAACAAAAAATTTATATGGAATAATATGACAATCCTGAATTGTATCATTTTAAAAAGAATATTGTTATACAAATAAAATATATATATGCAAAATTTTAATCCAAAATGATGTAAAAGCCTTAGATTCCGTCATTTTAAAAACATCTGCTTATCAATGTGATTTATATTTTAAAGATTGTAATAGCACATCGTTCTGGTATGAAATTGGTAAAAACTTTTTATTTGTCAATGAACTTGAAATTACAAAAATTTCAGTGATGCATCATTCTGATATTGAATTTTTTGTTTGTGAAAACTTTTCGTTAATTTGTTGGTTTTTGATTCAGCTGACGTATGGGTCTTGAGAAGATGAATCAGGCACGCTTGAAGAAATATATAATCAAGAAAGCCACAACATTTTCCACAACCTCTTACAGAGAGACAGAGAGAGAAATATCTGTGTTACCTTCAAAGGTGGTTGGGTTGAAGAAGATTGAACCCTAGCCTTCTTAGGAACCCCACCAGTGGCTGTGCTATTATACTAGCACAAATGAACAAACAGAGACGATAAATATCAAGACCTCATGATCATTAGATAATTAAGTTTCATTTCTGCTGATCAAAAAAAATTAAGTTTCATTTCTGTCGATTGGTTAGTGTCAAACAGTATCCGTGGATATATTAGACAGTATATCAGAACTTCAAAATCCCAATACATACCGACTGATATTTAAAATCCTACTTCATACCACCCCAAAAATTAATTAGTAGCTTTAACCTAGATATGACGAATCAAGTTTGTTAGAGTCTCTCTCTCACCTCGGGCGAATGATCAGGATGTTGATTCCTCCCATCGATCTTGTTATTTGAGAAGTCCAGCATGTTGCTGCTGCTTAAATTTGTAACACAGGACCTAGGGGACGAAACTGGCATGACTTGATGAGACCAAGAAGGCCTACATGTTTGAAATTCATCATCTCCATGGCCGTACAGCCGCCTACTTTGTGCAACCTCTTGCTTTACATCAACAACAGAAGGATTAACCCTTAAAGATGGACTCAAGATTTGGTCTTCCCAATTTTCCAACTTCTTAGACTGAAAATGACTCAGACCTAACTTTTCTTCCTCACTTGCCAATCCACCCCTGCAAAAACAATTAAAAAAAAAGAAAACACACAAACACAAACACAAACATTTTATCACAAAAAATCAAAAACCTATATCAAGATAAGTAAATAATTATCATGGAGATAATAGGACTCAGATGAATTGCCCACGCACATGCACGCATGCTAAGACTGAAATAATGAATATCTGAGATTGAAAATTAATTAAGTCCAAATGAAAAAGGGTTCAAAATTTATCAAACCTTTCAATTGTAGGGTTAAAAAAAAAATGATGTGGAAGGAGCTTCAAACATGAAAGTCTGTTTTTTAGATCAAAATCCCCTTGAAGCCCCATGTGACTGAAAGCAAGTGCTACAGAGAGAGAGAGAGAGAGAGAGAGAGAGAGAGAGAGATTTACATAAGTAGTTGGCTCCATGACTGTGGAAACTCTTGGTTATCAGCTGCATACTGAGGGAAGAGAGAGGGACATGGTGATGGTGATAAGAAGGCAGAAGGTTGCTGAGCTTGGCTCCACCAATTAGGGTTTTTTGCCATCATTTGTTACACACACACACTCACTGATGAATTTGATGATCAACTAGCTCTCTTCAAAGCACACACCAAGTTTTCAAGTACTCATTGTCTCATCTCATACCTTCAATACAACAAAAATCATTTATCTCTTTTGCTTTTTTGCTTTGCACTATGCTTTGTTCTCTTTCCTTGTTTATGCACCAAAACGAGCCTTTGTTTGAAGCTTTCAGAGGCAGTGTTTGCTTTCTTTGTTATTTAGATGAGGTTGAAGAAACCCATATATATGTCTTTGTCAACAAAGTATTTCATAGTTGTGGGGTTGGGAAGTTTTGTATTTGCTTCCTCTCTTTTTTCCTTTCCTTTCATTTGTTTATTGTTCTTTTTAATCTTGCTTGCTTTTTTTTGCTTTATTGTAAAGTGGGGTAGAAAAAAGCTGGTAGGCTGTGTTTTCAGGCCAAAAACAAATGGTTGTGGAGCTTATTTCCTTGATTTGGGGTTGTAACTAGGGATCTGTTGTTTTAGAGTTAGGGTTAGCTTTTGGACCATAATATAGGTAATGGGTTTGAGATAGAGTGCACCCATTATTTTTCTATGGTCGTACTTTATAATATATAAATTATTATTTTATTCTATTATAAAATTTTAATTCTACCTTCATCCTTAACTTTTGAATTGCTAACCCTAACCCCCACTTTCACCTCCAGCCTCCACTTAAGGTTAGTGTTGAAAGAAAGAAAATGAAAAAATGAAATTTAAAATTTGTAGGTATGGATCCAAAGAAGATAAGGGTTTAAAAAAATTTGGTGTGTGGTATTAACAACAATCTTTGAGATAATTATGCTGCTTCTTTCTCTCTGTTCAAGCAATAATTGGATTGATAAAACAAAACTAAAAAAAAAAATTAAGTAGGCCTACATATTAAGACAACACACTTTTTAAAAAGAGTAGAAATTTTGTGATTGATTTATACATATATTTTATATCATATGGACTTCTCTCATGCAGTGCATCATATAGCAGACTCTTATAGGTATTGTGAAATCACAGGTCTCCTATAGATAGTATACTGAAGGGTTCAATGCAATGAAATCAAACTTAGTTCATCTTATATCTCAGATATAATATAAATCATTGAAAATTACTAATACAATTTTCCAAACACTCTATATAATTCGTTGAAAATTACTAATTCAGCTTTCCCAAGATTATGTATTTTGGAAATAATCCATAAATAATTTTTTTTTAATATGTAGAAAATTCATCTCGGTTGACGTGCTAGTCCTATTTTTGACATTACAACTCTGGTTTCATAACATTATGTATGGTAATTTTGTAAAAAAATTATGTTTATATAGCAATACTCTTTAATCTTTCATTAATTTGTAATTAAATACCCACGGCTCTAGCTGGACCAGGTTCGGCACTCATTACAGTGAGCTCTGGGTTGAATTGTAGTTGGGGTGATGTGCACATGCTTGGACCAGTGTTTTGGCTAGTTTTGCAGCTTACTTTGTTGGTTCCTCACCAACTTTGAGGTCAATATTGTGTAGAATTCTTAATACCAACCTAATTGGGATTGGAGAGATCTACTATTTATTTTTATTTTTTTTGATCAGCAAATAAATTTTTATTGATGTAAACATACAAGAAAAGATAAGATACATCAATAAAGAAGAGCTTGGAGCTAACACGAAGCTCAAAGCCCCAGTTGGTGAGGAACCACCAAGGATCCTCTAGAGTGAAATTTTCCTAAAGTTTCCTAGAGTGTTTCATTGTGTGGTTGAGATTTATTGGCTCTGCAAATAAATTTTTATTGATGTAAACATACAAGAAAAGATAAGATACATCAATAAAGAAGAGCTTGGAGCTAACACGAAGCTCAAAGCGCCAGTTGGTGAGGAACCAACAAAAAGGAAAGCAAAAAGTGCTGCCACAACAACAGACAAAGAAAAAGAGAACAAAAAATCAGATAGAAGCAGCTGAGGCAACTCCAACAACAAACAGACATTCATCCCTTACAACCACCTAACACATTGTTGGAGAGATCTACTATGATGCTTGTTGCACGTCCTCCTTCTTGTTTATTGATGATCTTTCCATATGTAAGTATCCATTTTTATCAATGAAGTTTCTTTTTACTGATTAAAAAAAAAAAACCATGGCTCTACCTAGAGAAATTATTAACCCACCATTTTTTTTTTATCGGTAAAGTAAAAATTTCATTAACAATATCAAATTACAAATACAAGAAAATTGAATGCACTGACAAAGATTCAGAAAGTACGAATACCGCTATTACTGCTACACACATCTACACAACCAATCTCTTAACCTCACAAATTTTTTTTTTAAAAAAAACAAAGAAACCAAAAATAAAGAACAAAACACAAAAAAGGTTAAGAAGATCTTAACTACATCCAAAAGCTTTGAAACCCCCAAACCCTTTGAAACCTGCCCTTAGTTGACATGCATTAGGTTCATTTGAAATAAGTATATTTGTTTCAAGCTTTCACTAGAATCCTCATAGAAAGATTACATAACTAATGAGAATTGCTTATCTTCAGCTCGAATTTTAACTAGACTGAGCAGTTTGACTGTCGATATTATAATAAGTGAGTATTATATGGCAAAAAAATGCTCAAATTTATCCACTCGATTATTGGGTTCATGTAACCTAAAAGATGGTGGCAAGTGTGAGTGAATGTACAAATCTAAGCCTTTGTTTACAACAAAATACCCACGTATCGCAATCTTGATACTCAAAAACCTTTGAGAGGCTAGCTTAGTTGGCAATGGGTTTGCTCCCCACATATCCAACTCTTGTCAAGTCATTCAATTTTCCCAAATCATGCCATTAGGTAGGGATGTAAAATCAAGTTGGCCCAGCCCATTTGACCTTAGGCTTGGCCCGGCCTAGGCTCGCTCGGGCTCTTGCCAAAATTAGACCGGACCGGCCTAATTCCCACAAAATCCAGGTCCATGCCCAAAGGTAACCAAGCTTCAGGCTGTACCTCAACCTAGGCCTAGGCCCGAGCCCAGGCTTGGGTCGGGCATGACTTTTTATATATTTTTTTCACCAAAATAGTTTGCAGGTGACGTTGGCATTGGGTGGGCCAAGCCTCAAGTCAATCTTGGATCGAGCTGATTCGGCTGGGCTTCAGTCTGGGTCAGAACAAAAAAGGCATGGCTCAGGCCCTAGCTTGGGGAAGTTGGGTTGGGCCGAATCTCGGGTCAGTAGGGCATTTTTACACTCCTACCATTACCATTAGGAGATGTTGCTATCCTCAAAACATCTTGATACTCTCCTTACTTATTATTATTATTATTATTACATTTTTTTTGTGTTTATTTATTTATTTATTATTTATTATTTTTTCTAAGTTGACCTTTTTATGTTGGGTTCTCTGCAGGGTCCCATTATATGCTCCAATGTTGTTTGCATGACTCTCACTTATAGCAAAAGCAAAACAAACAAAAATGTTGTTGGCTATTTCTTGGTTGTGTTGAATACAAATGTTTTTAGCTTAATCCCCCCAAAATTAAAAGTAAAAAATAAAACAAAGAAACAAACAAAACTCTACCAGTAAAAGAAAAAGGGGGGAAAAAAATACTCATTATATGCCTAAAATTATTCTCAAACCACTTTGATCTATTTTTCACGTGATTTTGTTGAGGATTTATTGTTATTATTATTTGACGAGAAAAGAATTTCATCAGCTTGGGTTTTATATGACCAGAAGTAAAAATTGAACTCGAATGTTTTTGTGTGTGTGTGTGTGTGAGAAAGAGAGAGATTTCATAACCTTTTGTTTAATACAACACTCTAACTATTTTAGTTAATAATTTCGATTGGGAATCTTTGCATTCCGACTCAATCAAATTGTCCCTCCAAACCAAAATTGTTTACACTTCATTTATCTCTCTCAAATATTTCAGCTCAAATGGAACCCTCTAATATGAGAAGGTAGTACCCACTTCCCACCTCATATGAGAGCCAATTTTGTGATTGATTTATATATAAGTAGAATAAATGAATCCAGAATGCCAGTTGCCAAGATATATAGTTCTCTAGACTTTAGTCTAATTCCATGTAGAGTAATACTATACAAATGATTTTTATTTATGTTTGTAAGTTTACTTCACAAACTAAGGTGGTAGTAAATTCATCTTCTTCTTCTTCTTTTATTTTTTTCTTTTTTTTATAAAAAAATTACAATATTACATGTCTATCTAGCTTTTTTCATCCCTCCTGTATTTCAACACCGTCACATCTATATTTGTTACACATGACAAATCTATTTTAGTGTGTTATCTCTCTTCATAACTTTTAGTTGATATCACTCCTATCATTTCAAGAATTATTCATTTCTAATTCTTGTTGGAAAATAATTCAAAATTATTCATTTCGGCAACTCTAATTCAAAATTAAAGTGAGATCAACCACCAGTTGAGGTGGGTTTGAGTGATTTTATATTCTCTCAAGTAAGAAAATTACAACATAAAAATAATGAACCAAAACCATTGAGTTGTGAATGAGAATTGTCTCATAAAGTGGACATCAATGGAGTTGGATTTAGAATTAGACTTAGGCCTGATTTGGCATCTTAAAAAAAAAACAAAAAGTTAAAAAATTACTAAAAAAGTTTAAAAGTTTTCACTATTCACCAAAAAAATTATAAAAAAAATTATTTTTACACAAAAAAAAGGTACAACTCATGTTGACATGAATTGCCTTTACTTGACTTTGGTGAGAACAAATTACACAGGCAGAGGCAAGCTTAAGGGCGGTATTGTTCAGCCCGTGGGGACCCATCATGGGTCCCGTTTTGATAATCTGAATCTTTCAATGTGTAGAACTCATTGAGTGCTATATGGCTGTAAAAAATCACGTTGATCGGATATCATTAACTACATGATCAAATCAGTTTTGTATAAAAAAAAATGAATTGTATTATAGTTAATGGTTGACAAAAAACTAATTCGATCAGATAGCTATCGATATCCGACCAACGTGATTTTTTACAAGTATATATTACTCGACGAGTTCTACACATTGAACGGTTTCGATTATGAAAACAAGACTCTTCGTGGGCCCCCAAAGGCCAAACATCACCGTCTAATTCAATGTCCGAAAATGAGGTAAGCATATCCTATATGCTAGTCTACCCACTGCTTTGCCCCAGCGTACTGCCTATTCTTCTCTCCCTTCTCCTATACATTAAATTATACAATTTTTCGTAAAAAGTCAAAAAGTTATCCCAAACAATTATATTTTTTTCTCAACTTTTCAGTCTAAAAAGTCAAAAAGTGTACTTATTTAGAACATCCCTAACAACCCCTTAGTCTTAGTTT